AACAGCCCCGTTTACAGTGTCTTAGTTTTCTGGCAAGCGGTGCTTGTCTTTTTAGTATGGTTTTTAGATAAGACACAGATATCAACTAAGGGTGTAACCATAGAAATGGGTGTAACACTTAAGGTGAAAGGAAATCAGAATCATTTTAGAAATCTATTCTACCCAGCCCAAGATCACGCTGGCAATTTCTACTTCGTGTCACTGGTAGTCTGTATCATTTTAATTTTGGAGTAGACAAATTACAAGCGTAACCTACTTTCTTGTTACAGTTACATAAGAAAACAACAAAACAGATCCGTTGGTAGAAAACATTTGTCCTGTCAAAATCAGTTTTACCCTGCGAAAAGGTCCAACTTTCGTAGTTGGGGGGGGGGGGGGGGGGGGGTGAACCATCCATACCCCCTTCAAGTGAAGCCCCTGGCCATTGGTTCGATTTTGAATTGACACATTTTCTCTCGTGTTAACAAAGCAGGGTAGATTTCATCAGCTAATGAACTGTTATGCTACTAAAAATGCCATGCAGAACTGTTATTCAGTAGTCTTAAAAAGTATTCATATTTTGCAGATATGACAATCAATTTTGAAATAACAACATTAAGAACAGCCGGGCCTGAAATTATCCAAAAAATAAAAAAAAGGTGTCGGCAAAAACTGTATTGTTTTTGTAAAAAGTGTGTAGTGCATCAGATATTAATAGGAGGCAAGGCAGAATAAAATAAAAGCAAACAGTTGTTGATCAGGAAATTAACCTCATTCCTTATTGCAACAAAAACAGTCTGTGCAAAACTGAAACTGAACTTACTCGGTAAGAAATCTTTCAATAATTTCTTATCTATATATGTCAAACTTTGTGTACATTTTCACGCATATAAAGCTGGCAATGTGTTGAAATCTGTCAGTTGTTTCTCTTTTTCCCTTCCTAGTTTACAGGCACCGTGGAGCGTTGAAAAAAGTGGGGGTATAAAAAGTGGGGGAGGGGGGCTAAAACCGTATAAAAAGAGTTTGTTTTTTTAGTAGTTTTTTTTAAAAAAAGTGGCTAAAGCCTGGTGCCTGGTTTAGTCGTCAATTGCTGACCTGTGGCGAAGTAACAATTCTTCATAGCTTTCTTTGTATTACATGATTCCATATCATGTAACACATATGTAACATGTATCCAAGCACAACTGACGAGGAAGGCTGAGCCCCACTTCTTTTTTCAAAAATCTTAACAAGGGGGACTGCACCCCCCCTGAGACCTCCACGAACTGCATCGCTGTTCGTCTCCAAATAAAGGGTGGCTCACCCACTTTGTCGGCAAATGTGATCTGAGCATCCCCCCTTTAGCACAATAGCTATCGACAGCCCTGGTCTAAGATATGAAAAGAAGTTTTAAGTTTTGGTATGAATTTTTTTAATTTGGAAATATTTGCTGCCTTCAGGTTATTTTTACCAAACTTCTGATCACAGGATCAGTGATATTCCTTCAAAAATTATTTTCTTCAAAACTGTTTGAATCCACCCATTAATATCTAAAACACAATTTGAGGCCATTATGATGAGTTTCTGATTCATAATTTAGGAAATGTTTCTAACAATAGTCTATTCAATTTGGAAAAGTTGCTGGTGATTGATTCTTTGCAACTATAATGCCAACCTTTATGTCTCCTTTCCACGCCAATGGAGGAAACTACCCTGCTGGCTTTTCTATTCTTAAGATTAAGTTCTCCTTTTTTTAATCGCATACTTGAAAAAACTGGGTTATTTCCTTTCTCGTACCAGTACCATCAAAGAAGTAATCAGGGTATGCTTCTGCAAAGAAACACAATCTACACTTGTATAGTTTCATAGCTGGCTTTCTATATAACAAGTTCATCTTATGGCCTTCATAGTAAGCCAACTTTTATGGGGAAAAATTTTTCTCGTATCTTCTTTCCCTCGAATAATACTTTAAAGAGGGTTGTTGTAAGAATCATAAATTTATCGGGCATCTCTAAAACATGTTAAAATGTATTGTTAATAACTTAATTAAGCTTATCTGGCAAAGAAAAAGTATATTGCAAAACCAATTCATGTCAAAAGATTGATACATGTTCTTACTTGGATGCCTGTGTGGATTTGCAGTGATGTTGTATTATTTGGCAAGATCAGGGCTGCCGCCAGGCAGAATTGGCACTGAAGATGTGAAGAAATTTTCGGACCACACCCTTTTTTTTTCTCAATAATGGATGTCAATATCACATGAAACTGCAGTGATCATGCAAAAACCAAATGACCTCCTATAGAGAAGGTCTATTTAGCATGACTCAATTCTGTTAAAACTATGCTGAAAGCTAAAAATAGCTTTGCATAGATAAGTGGGCCAAAATTGTTCTAAAATGACATTATTGCTTCATACAAAACAATATCTTAGCTAAGATGTAATGCTAGATATTTTAAAGATATATTTGTGACAAAATCATATGTTAAAATGACTTTCCTATTGCCAATCAATAAGATTAAGCAATAAAAGTAAATCAAGGAAAAATTATGTTTTGTCACATTTATTTATGTTGAATCTAGTTTTGCTTCAGATTTGACGAATCGTAAGCCCTTTTTACATGATCAGACTTTGTCAAATCACCAAATTTTGTTCATAAAATTAAGGAGCTAGGTGCTTCAAGTGCCGTAGTTATAGCACTGTTTTTAAAAAGACAAAGAAATAAGAGAAGAAAACATACAAAATGGACAAAAGAATGGCTGAAGCAATGTCCTGTTTTTGGAACATGTGATGCCCAATTTGGATAAAAGTTGATCCAAACTAGCTTGCCACTCTTTTCTGTTTTTATTGGAAGAATAGATAACAAGCTCTTCCTTTTCTCATATTCAGCAATGATAAGTTCTCTTTCTTCATTTTTATGGCCTCATGTTTTCTTTAATTGAATTCAATAAAGTCTGACTGTGTAAGAGCCGCCTCAGTTGGCAGCCAATACAACATTGCAAAACATTTGAGGATGCTCTACTCTCTATTAGTTTTTAACTACACTCATTTTTTTACAAGAAACAGGTTATAAGAAACGGTAGGCTCAATTTTTCAAAAGTTAAGAAACAATCCTACCCAAATTGAAAAAAACTAAGAAACTTTTATAATTTGCAGTTTTAATTTTCCGAGTTGAGACTCGAAACAATCTTTTAATAGCAAAATGGCCAGAAATTTGAAGAAACTGCCTACCAGCACCGGATCTTAGTTTCTTATAAAAAAATTGGTGTAATATGTTCCTTCCTTACGTCAACTCTAGATCCAGACGATTTAAAATTCATTTTAGTGCTCTGTTTTTGCGATGTTGTGTTTATATTAATGGAAATAATGGCTCATAGACCAGTAAGCTTTGTGTTGCTAACTTCATCAAATTGTATTTAATGTTATTTAAAATAATACTGAGCTGTTAATGTTATACTGTTCAACAGGTATCGCCTAAAAGGCTAAAACGGCTATAGATATTAGAAATTGTTCTTCGTTGTGTGTGGCAAGAGATTTTATCATCAACTTCTTTTCTTGACGAATGTCAACGGATCTTCATCGGGAAATTGTATTCTGTCATAATCATATTTATTAAATGAATCTACTTTCAAAAGCTTATCACTAGATGGAGTACGTGCTTGAAGGATTTCTCTGTCTAAATCTAAATTCATTAAGTTTGCTTTGTGTTTATTCCATTCACAATTTATAAGCAACACCAGGACGGCAAACACGACTAGGCCAATCGCAGAAGCTTGAAGTTGCCAGTCACTGCTTATGAACTTTCTGCCTTCAGAAACAAGGTAGAAAAAGTTATCCTGCATTTTCTGTGTCGACATAATAGCGTTTCTTCCACTGGTTTCTTCTATTTTCTAACGAATGTTTTTGGCAAGCATTTTTGATTGGCCTCGATCCAACCTGTGTTTATGATGTTGCTGTTGCCTTGTTGTTGAACAAGTAGAGGAACCAAGCAAGGTTGCACCAAACGTGACTTGTACACTGGGTTTGTACCATTGAATTTCCCCATTCGTCCAAAAATGAAAATTGGAGTAATTAGAAAAATATAACAGTTTTCTAATTATCAGGTATTTTCATTTTTTGCCAATCGCATAATCTATTTTTACTTTTGTCGATCGTACGTAAAGTTCGGTAACGATGGGAAATCCCCATCTCCAAGCTAGTCGCCTGGTTAAACTGTAGAGTTCACAAGGTTGCCAGTTGCCTCTGGTTTTTTCCTCAGGCAGGTAAAATGGAACCCATGGAGGTTGACTCGGGAGAGTCTCGGCCTGGCCAAATAATCTTATCTTGGGGAAGATCTGCCTCTGGAGAATTAGGCATTGATGATAGCAGCGGAGAAAAGAATATCCGGGTACCAACAGTTGTGACTGCATTTCAAAGGGAACGTGCTCGGGCTCCCGTCATAGATATCGCTTGTGGAAAACAACATACAGTCATTTTGCTGGAAGACGGTCAAGTTTACTCTGCCGGCTCTAATGAATCGAAACAACTAGGTCACGAAAAGCGTGGATCAGAGCCAGGTTCGTGCTCTTGTTTTTGCTGCATATCTTAATCTAGTCAATGCGAGGCAAACTAATTTTGCCTCACATCGAGTTGCATAGTGTAGCCGGTTTACAACGTAATTCTTTTATTTTCTGGCTTTGATGAATGTAAAAATGTTAGTCATTTCCCAACCATACACAAACATCAACCTTCATAGAATTTTCTTTCTATGATATTGTCAGATTTTATGCTTATTTTTACTATCTACGAAACTGGTGCTTCTTTCAAATTTTAAAAGCTTGATAATGATTGATCAGTAAATTCATGATAACATTGACTTTTGTATATCTAAATGTGTATTTACAGAAATGCTAATGGCAAGAAACATTTTTTAATGATCTAGGGTCATTCCCTTGTTGCCAGATTTTCTTGTTTTCTAAGAAAACAAATCATCGTTACAGTTATTTCTAAGAAATTTGTCAATTGGTATTCAAAGACTGCCCATGAAATTGAGTATTAGGGGCAGCAGGTTTTCTGTTACTAATTACTCTTCCAGTTTGGATGCAGCCATCATTGCACTTAATTCATTATCACTTTCTCAATTTAAATGATGGGAAGTGAAAAAAGTTTTCTCAATGAGATATTGTGCATAACAAGTCGTTTTAACAAAATGTTTTGCATGCAAACCCTTTTTTAACAGTCTAATGGCATGCAGACCAATCACCATGATTCAACATCACAATTATCATTAACATCATTATAAAGTTAAAGGAACTACTATAAATTTTGATGGACATAATTTAAATTCTCATTGATTTGATTCTAAACAAAAGGCAATGACAAGGCATGACTACTTCACAATGTTTTCTTGAATTTTTATTTGCTATTAAACCTATTGTCAACCCTGAATTGTCAACTGATGTGACAGGCTTTAAGATAAATTTTATTTATTTTGCTTCTAGAAAAATTAAATATTCTGGAGACCCAAATTATCAAATTGGTTGCCTGTGGAGAAGCATTTACAATTGTTCTGAATGCAGATAATCAACTTTATTCTTTTGGTTCAAATGATAAAGGGCAGTTGGGCTATAGAACACAAGGCAAGAAATTCAGTGAAAGACCAAGGTTTGTGAAACCATTCAACCAGTATTTTCAGAAAGTGGACTTTCAGAATACAGTATACCCTGCTTATCAGTAGAATACAGTTACTCTGCTCAAAGTTACACTGCAGCTTACAGTCACAACTTTAAAAGCAACAACTATAAGCAGGTCCTACTGTATGTGGGGGTCATCAAGGGGGATAGAAATTTGCCATTTCATGCAATTTTCAGTTAGAATCTGTCGTTCTGATCACTCCAACAAAAATTCTGTGTCCAAAAATTGTTGATAGATACTGCTTACCAGAAAGACCAAGATTTGGCTAAGTCTCTTTTTTCAAGACAACAAGGGAAGAATTATGCAACTCCATAAAACTTTATAAAATTTTTGTAATTCATGCATTTTCTTTCGAGAAAACCACATCTGACAAGTGTGGAGAAATCTGTTGTTCTGTTTTTAAATTGTCTGTTATCTGTAATCCATGAAAATTTTCTTAAAATTCCGTTAAGTCTACA